GACCACCTCGGGACCTCGCAACACCCTTGGAGGCTTGCGACCTGCGCAACTCTCGCCACTTTCGTAGGCTCCTGGGAGGCCCAGCGGAGGCACGTCCCACGCGGACCAACTCGGGACCTCGCCGCCCCCTGATGGGCTTGCGATCTGCGCAACTGTCGCCACGTTCGTGGGCTCCTGGGAGGCCCAGCGGAGGTACGTCCCACGCGGACCACCTCGGGACCTCGCCGCCCCCTGGAGGGCTTGCGATCTGCGCAACTGTCGCCATGTTCATTGGCTCCTGGGAGGTCCAGCGGAAGTACGTCCCACGCGGGCCACCTCGGGACCCTCCTAGGAAGCCAAGCGGAGGTACGTCCCACGCGGACCACCTCGGGACCTCGCCGCCCGCTGGGGGGCTTGCGATCTGCGCAACTGTCGCCACGTTCGTGGGCTCCTGGGGGGCCCAGCGGAGGCACGCCCCAGGCGGACCACCTCGAGACCTCGCCGCCCCCTGATGGGCTTGCGATCTGCGCAACTGTCGCCACGTTCATTGGCTCCTGGGAGGTCCAGCGGAGGCACGTCCCACGCGGACCACCTCGGGACCCTCCTAGGAAGCCCAGCGGAGGTACGTCCCACGCGGACCACCTCGGGACCTCGCCGCCCCCTTGGGGGGCTTGCGATCTGCGCAACTGTCGCCACTTTCGTGGGCTCCTGGGAGGCCCTTTTGTGTTCTCTTTTTGGGCGCGTTTCTTTCAACGCCCCTGTGTTCCATTTTGTATATGTGCCGTTCCTCTTCCTGCTGCGCTCTTCTGAAATCACTGCTGGGGGCTCTTCTTGCGCACTGCGGGTCCTTCAGAATGCCAGTCAACACTGAGTGGTCTTGTGTGTAATCGCCATAACCTGTGGGACCTCACACGGGAACCACTTTGAAACTTGTGGGACCTGCGAGACCTGCGGGACTCCGTGGGGCCCGTACGATCTGGTGTACCCCCTCCTGGTGCCAGGATAACGCTTCCGGGTGCCGGGTGCGTTATCCTTTCACCGGAGAGGGGGGGGGTTCCTTAATCGCTTACTCGGGTTATGTATAGAAAGAGTTGGGTACGTCACATGGTAATTTCACCATGCTCGAACCGTCCTCCTGCTGAGAGACGTGCCCGACTTACACATGAGAGGCTCGAGCACGCAGGGGGCCGGCGCCGACCCGGCCACGCCCGCACACCCAAGAGGGGGACGAGACGCGCGGCGGAGGCGGCGAGGGCTATGTTGCGCCCTCCGTGCTTAAGATCGGGGAGACGTAAGACCCGGGTACGGGGGACTCGGAAATCCCCGACGAGGTCGTCAAAAAAATGACGAGACCGAGCCTGCATTTTGACGAGGCCTCCCGCTGCACACATCCCACGAAACTCCTACTCGTCAAAATCCGAGTCGCGGTCGTCAAAAAAAAATGGCGAACCCGAGTCCTGGCAAACCCGGGTCTTACGCTCCCCCGATAAGAGCCCATCACAGGCACAGTTCCAAACACCCAAGAAACGATCGAAACAATGTCTGCCCGGCACGCTGGCGCAGTGGCGAGCGAGCAGTGCCTCCCGGGGTCCAGCACGTGAAAAAAACCATCCCGTGTGGATACTTGCTGGGTGCTCGAGAAGCTTTCTGGTGATCAGGGCTCAAGTAGTAGGTCGGAACATCGTAATCGGCGGTGGAAAAAACCTCCCTTTAGTAAACCTCCCCGAAGTGAAAACGGCCTAGGACCGAAACCGACGGACCCGGACCCGCAAAAAATGACGGCCGCGACGCCCTTTCGCGAACCGAAAACGGCCAATTCCTCAATCGACGCGTCAGGGTAGGAGGCCTGTCCACCCCCGACGTCAGGCGAGGGGCGAATGCGACTCTGAAAGAGCCAGCGGGGAAAGCGACCAGGGGCGACCCGCAGCGGGTGAGCCTGATCGGGCGTAAACGCGAGCTGGCTGCACTCGAGCCGGGGGGGCGCCAGGACGCCCACGGCGGCCTCACGCCCCCCCACAAGGGGGCCAAAACCCGACGGGGGCACAGATAGGGATGGGAAGGCAAGAGAGCGCAAGAGGGCAGGAAAAGGAGAGGAGCGGGATGGGGAGGGTCGACAGGAGGTGGAGGAGGAGGAGGAGGAGGAGGAGGAGGAGGAGGAGGAGGAGGAGGAGGAAAGGGGAAAGGTAAGTGGAAGGAAAAGGGGGAGGGGGGGGTAGGGAGGGAGGGGGTATGGTTTGGGAGGAGGGGGGGGGAGGTATGGTTCTACTGTGGGGAGGATAGGGGGAGGGAGGAGGATGGTTCTGGGTGGGAGGGTAGGATGAGAGAAGAGGAGGGCTGGAGAGGAAAGGAGAGGGGGGTGGGAAGAGGAGTTAGGCAGGGAGGAGGAAGGGAGGAGGAGGAGGAGGAGCTAATCTCGAGGAGGTGGGGAGGAGGGTGTGTGAAGGGGAGGAGGCGGTGGAGGTTAGGTAGAAGGAAGGAGGAGGAGAAAGAAGGAGCACAGAGAGGGGAGGAGGAGGTAGCAGGAGCAGGGAGGAGTGAAGGGGAGGAGGGGAGGAGGCTATGGGCAGGGGAGGAGGAGGAGGCGGCGGCGGCCGAAAAGCCGTCGACGAGTCGAAGCGGGTGGGGGCTATGGAAAGCGCGCGCGTAGCATAACTCCGACAAGACAGCAATCGAAACGAATTTCGAATTATGCGACCTACCGTGCGCTAGTAGAACTGCGAGTGCAGGCCCCCACGGCGGGAGCCCCGACTGATTGATCGCTCGACCAAGGCTGAACACGAGGCGAATTCAAGCACACCGCACTCCCTGCAGCGAGCACCTAGTAGACGGAGCCGCAAGGGCCAGAACCCGTCAACTAAGACACCTGAAGCAGGAAGGACGACGGCCCACTATCCAGAACACGGCCAGGAGTCCCACGGCCCGAAAGCGAGACTACCTGGAGGGTCCACCAGTGACCATTCGAACTAACTCCTTAGGAGGAGGAGGAGGAGGAGGAGGAGGAGGAGAAGCGGGAGGAGGGGGAAGAGGGGGAAGAGGCCTTCGTGGACCTTCCGTCGTGGGAGCCCGTTGGAGGAGTCGTGGGGTCATCCTGGCGTCTTCTGGGGCCGTGTCGGGGACCTCTTGCGGGGCTCCTCGGGGCCGGCTTAGAACCCTACTGGGTCTTTGGGGGGAGTCTCGGGGCTCCCTTGGGGCTCTCTTTGGGGCCGTCTTGGGGCCCTCTTGGGGCGATCTTTGGCCCCCCCCGTGGCTTCATGGGGAGAACCTTAAGACGCCCCCCCCGTCCCCCTTTCTGGAAACTCCTCCTCCTGCTCCTCCTCTTTCTCCCCCTCCCCTCGCTGTCCTTCCTCTTCCTCTCCCTCCCTCCCTTCCTTCCCTCCTCCCACTCCCTCCCCTCCCCCCCCCCCCCCTGCCCTCCTCCCTCCTCCATCCTCACTCCTCCCGTCTGCCCTCCTCCATCCTGCCTTCTTCGCTCCTCGTTCCCGCGCTCCTCTCTCCTCGCTCGCGCTCCTCGCCCCTTCCGCCCTCGCTCCGTCCCTCCTCGCTCCTCCCTCCTCCTCAACCTCTCCCCCCTCCTCCTCCTTCCTTCCTCCATCCCTCTCGTTCATCATCATCCTCCTCTTTTCTTCTTCTTCTGCTTTTTCTTCTTCTTCTTCCTCCCCTCGCCTCCCTCCGTCTCCTCCCCCTCCTCCCCTCCTCCCCCTCCTCCTCCTCCTCTCCTCCTCCTCCTCCTCTCTCTCCTCCTCCTCCTTCCTCCTCCTCCTCCTCCTCCTCCATCCTCCTCCTCCTCCTCCTTCCTCCTCCTCCTCTCCTCCTCCTCCTCCTCCTCCTCTCTTCTCTCCTCCTCCTCTCCTCCTCCTCCTCCTCCTCCTCCTCCTCCCCCCCACCTTTCTAGAAAGCGAGAAATTGACTCTTGGAACCCTCTTGGGGGACCCTTGGGCCGCTTGGGGGTCCTCTTTCAACTCCTTTGGGAGTTCTATTGGGCGGCCTTCAGGCTTCTCGGGGGCATCCTGGAGAATCTCCTGGAGCTCTCTGGGCTGTTTTGGGAGATCTCTTCGGGCCTCTTGGAGACTCTTGGGGGGCTCTTTGGAGCCTCCTGTGGTTACGCGGGCCCCTGACGCCTTTCTGGGACGCCTCTCGGAGGCCTCGCCGCGCTTCTGGCCTCTTGATCGATGGCTCTTGAGGGGAGGCGGGTCTTGTGGGTTATTGAAGCCTCCTGGGGGCTTTTTATTGAAGCCTTGGAGCCTACTGGGGGGGGGGCTCTTGGAGGCGACCTTGAAGCCTCAGCCCACTGCAGGCCACTCGGCGAGGAGGCAAATTCAGCGAGCTCCTGTGAAGAGTGCTGGCTTCTGAGAGGCGTCCTGGGGGTCTCCGGGGCCCCCCGCGGCTGACTTGAACATCTCTGGAGGCGTCTGGAGGCTCGCGGGCCGCCTGGATCACTCGGAAGCTGCCTTGGGGGCGCCTTGGGGCCCTCTTGAGCCGCCTTCACGGCTGTCTGAGCGCTCTGGGGACTCACTAGGAGCGCGTCCTGCCCTCAGAGCCCTGCATTTGAAGCCTGAGTACCGGCCTCCCGGGCGGGGTCCCCCGCTATCTATATATTTGACATATATATACACATATGATATATACATTTATATTCATACACACATATATTTGTGTATATATACATAGTTATGCATATATATATATGTATACGCAAATACATTATATATATGCATATATATATATATGTATGTATACATGTACATATACAGATATGCGATTACAAGACCCTCTCAGACAACCAGTTTAGCCATTTAAGTAGCATGAGCCAGTTGAAGAACGAAGAACACGCACCCATACCCATAGGTAGGACGGATAGGGGGCTATGCGTGCGTGTTGTCGGATGTGGGTTCCCGCTCGAACGGGAGCCTCCCACGGGGTCCGACAACCCGCACCCATGCCCATGGCCAGTCCTTCTCCCTCCGACCCTTCTATTGATACTGTGTATGGGTGTGTGTGTGTGTTGTGCGTTCGTCACCGGTTGGGAATTCGCTGGTGGCTTGCTCGGCACGTCGAGAGCGGCCCAGGCGTATTCGGCAATCCACGAGCGCGGCCAATCTCGACCGCAACGCCAGCGCATGAGAATGACGACAAACGGGGTCGAGAGGGGGGAAACTTGCCGTCGCTCGGACGTACATTTCCCGTGCATGTTTCGGTTTCGTGCGTGTTTTTTTTGTTCGATGGTCCAGGATGGTCCTCGATGGTCCTCGCCGCGAAAAAAATGCACACGTCCGAGCGATGCCAGGGAAAGGTGCGAGACAAGGAGGGCGGAGGAACAGGAGGTTGAGGCTGAAGTTCAGCCTGGCAGGGCCAAGTGTGAGACTGCGCGCGTCATCTGGAAGAATGCCACGACTCCAGAGAGGTGCCGTCCTCCTCGTCGGTGCTGTAGGGGGCGCGCTTCCTCTCGGGCCCGTCGTAGTGGTCCAGGAGGGCACCCGACAGGGCGTCGCGCAACTGGCTGCCCTCCTCTCGCTGAAACAGCATCAGGTTCCGGACCGATACCAGCGTGAGCACGACGGCCATGGGCAGCCAGAATAGGGCCATCATCACGCAGGCGTCGGAGTACCACCTGTCGGGCGCATCTGTGGCCCACGGGCTGCCCGGCAGGAACATGCCCGCGAGCCAAGCGATCGCCCAGACCACGTAAACCACGCGGAAGACCCTGTCCAAAGCAACCAGGTTGTCGTTCATACTGCTGCCCAGGCCCTGCTTGTGCATGGAGTGGAGCCGCAAGAGAAGCACCGTCTCTACGATAGGAATGTTGATCGCGATGAAGGCGGTGGTCTGGAACCGGTCGATCCACATGTTGCCTTTGTCGGGAGGGCGCTTGTCAGTCGTCAGCAACGCTGTAGCCATCGCCGTGAGAGTGAGGGTGACGGCATAGGAGAGTCGATCGCTCGAGTTCAGCGGCACGAAGAATGTCAGCCATGATAGGAAGACTAGCGCAATTGTCGGCTGGATGCAGCTCACGACGTAAAAGCTGGGATGCCTTTTGAGCGTGATGATCCACCTGACAGCGTCGAAGGTGCCGTAATCGCCACCGCCAGGCAAAAACTCCTTCACGTGCATCAGAGTGCCGTTGACATTCTCTATGGTGACTTCGTACTGCTGTGTGGGCAAGTCCGCAGAACAAAGTACTGCAGGGGCGGGCTTGAGTCTGTACATGGTCTCGGACCACGGCTGGAACGTAAGGCTGCAGCTGTTTTCGTCATACGGGAAGTTGGCGAAGTCCAGCTTGCACTGCACCGCGAGCACACATGCACGGCCCCAGTAGACGTTGAACGTCTGCCCCATCTGATCGGCGCGCTTCAGCGTGAACGTGTCGTCGAAGAGCAGCGCAGGCTCCTCGCTGCAGGACTCGACGAAAGCATCGACCTTCTCCCTCAGGAAGACGTCTGGCTTCCAGACGTTCTCCGGGTCCAAGCTTACGTGGCTGCGCCCGCTGCTGGTCCAGGGCAGGTCCAGCTCGGCCGAGGTAGGGTCGGAGCTTCTCCTATTCGGAAACATCGCGGTGCCGTTGAAAGACAAGCGGGGGTCGTACCAGTACAGCCTCAGCCACGCGCTCAGCGTCACCACCCCAGCATCTCTGTTGACACTCATGATCTTCCTCAACTTTACGCCAATCAACACCTTGGCATGAAGGAAGTGGGCCCCGAGGGAAACGGGTCCTGGACCCCGAAGCCTGCTCCGAAGACCAATTCTTCATCCTGAACCGTACGCTGACGGTCAACCAGGAACCGTGGAGACCCCAGGAGGGCCAACGACGGTGAAAAACCTCAAGACCTGGGGAAACCAAAAGATACCACCGATAGCACTACTTCCTAGACCTCAGGGTGCGTTCTGACCAGAACTTCGAAGCGAATCCAGCGGTGGCGACGAGGGCCTCCTGGGAGGCCCAATAAAGGGAAAACGAGGGAAGGGTAGCGGTATGGGTACCTCGTCCTCCTCAGAGGACCCCTTTCCTCCATGTCGAGCACCGTGGAGCGCGCCGGGAGCATGTCGCCGACCTGGACCAGCGGGGGGGCCTCCGCATCGTAGTCCCCGGGGATGAGGCCGTAGGGCCCCGTGCCGGAGCCCTGCGTCTTGGCGCCAGTGGCGCCGTGGTCGACCTCCTCGCCCTCCGCCATGGCCTCGACGGCCTCGGCCGAGATGTCCGTGTCAGTGACGACCTCTGCATCCTTGAGGCCTCGACCGCGCTCTCTTCCTCTCCTCCCAATCCTGCTCCTCCTGCTCCTCGTGCTCCTACTCCTCCTCCCCCTGCTCCTCCTCCTACTCCTCCTCCTCCTCCTCCTTCTCCTCCTCCTCCTCTTCCTCCTCCTCCTCTCCAAGGGTCACGTCACGATTCGCGCCGGTGCCGTCCCAGACCCCCTGGAGTCATGAATAAAAATCACACCTGGAGGTTTTTCCCTATTTTCGGCCTCTAGGGGCCCTTACTGGGCCTTGGGACTGCCACAAAACGACTCAGGATGGACAGCGGGTCCCGGAGAAAGGGTCGAGGCCTCTGGGGGTCGACGTCATGAACAAATCATGACGTCCGGCGCCCAGGGTCTGAGAATTGGCCATTCCCGGACGGAGCCTGCGCGACTCGTGACGTGGCTGGCTCCCATCCCCCCCTC